TTTGTCTGGAAACTTCTGGCGCCTAGAGTGTGTGTGCTTCATGACCTGCAAGCAGAAAAACTATGTGCCAGCTTGCCCGGAGGCACGTGGCCGGGGATCTGGACGGCAGAAAGTCTCTCGAGAAGCTAGTCCTGGCAACGTGAGTTGCACGTGGAAATTTGGGCAGCGCGCGAGTCTGGGTAAAGCACAGGCCTAGTTTGCAGAGTTTCTCGAGTCTTGGCACACCTCCATCTTCAAAATACCATGAATCACGAATTCGTCTTATTCGACGGCACGATCGAGAGCTCGGGCATTTCTCGATACACGGACGGTTCGTGGCTATGACATCTCATGGAGCAGAATAATTGCAGCCTACGCGTCATTCGTTAGTAGTAGCTCATTGCAAACATGGAAGCTCGTCGCTACGACAGAACCGAATAAGACGGCACATTTGCTAGAACTCAATAGTCGCCTGGACACCATGATACCGTATGAGGACCCATTTACTTTCTTTTTGCCATAGAAACCTTAGTTAGAGAATTCCACGGCAGTCATGATGAGAATGGCAGAAATTGATCCATGTGGTCTTGGAGACGTTCGAATAATCTAACAGCAGGGTACCGTGGCTATGAATGAATCCGGCGCACTGGTTTAGCTTAGGCGCATCGTATCTCGGCACGGAAAGTTGTAGCATCTAAACTCTGAAGGCTAGTGTATCATGCAGTCTTTCAAGATGCTCAGCTGAAGCCAGTCATTCAAATACGCAGTTACTGGCACAAGAACACATGGCTGGGACTTACTTTCATGTACGCGTCGTTCTCAAGCGCCCTATCTCAAGCGCCTCATGCACCTTATGACTGACAAGAGTAGAAGCTCCTGTGGTGGCTGCACACGACAGATATAAGCACGGGCTTCGATTATACAATCTGATTTTGCTTTTTATATAGCAAGATAGTAAAACGATCAAGATAGAGCTGAAGTTTGACTTTTTTTCTAGGAGATACTCGCGACAAGCGTTCAGCTCGGGGACCACGGCAGTCCTGTAGGCAAAGTGATTCCAACTTGCAAGAGCTCCTGTTTATCGCCTTAACTGGGAGCCTAGCTACTGTAGAATTCGCAAGACCCATCAAGGTTTCATTCGTAGAACCGTCGGTCCGGGAAATCGGAAATTCAAAATTGCAACTGGCTTATGGATTCGTAAGAAAGGGTCGCCTGGATTCGCAGCCGTCATCAAGTAGTCACAGTCTACCTCCATGCGCATAAGTATGGACTGCGTGTCTCGCATTCTACCCGCTCCGGTCAAGAAATGCCTCTTCTTAAGCGATCCGTGGAATCCGAGTCCGTCCTAGAGCGTTGAAATATAATTTCTGTCTACTCCACTACTTGTGGCTATGCTTGGGCTCCTATCCCCCGACCTCCTGAGTCAGGAGACAGATGGACCCTCGATTTCGGTCCCACGAGCTCTGATATGATGACAAAGATGAGCAACAACGCGATGGGTGGAAGTCCAAACGTGCATCTGCGAATTAGCCGCCGTTTACCAGCTCAGGGGCTATTCGATGTCAAACCTACCTCCTCACCGCTCACCGCTCACCGCTGACCAGACTGTAACGTGGTTTTCGGCCTGTGACAATCTCATGCAGTGAGCGTTTGCTTTCTGAATCCCTCGACTCAGGGTGACGCGCCTGCCGTGCATTGGTACCCTACGGCGAACCTTGATATCGCAACTAGTGTACGTAAGACTGTGATGTTTGAACGCTTGGCCAAATCTGTTACCACTGTAAGGTATTATGTCTCGGGTATCGAAACCCTTTTGGGAAGACTATGCCCGATCCTGATTCGTCCAAGACCATGTCGAGTCCCTCCTATAATCTTATTGCCAACCTCAAGATTCAATGAGGCGTGGTTCGTTCTGCAGAATTTGAGTAATGCATCAACTTCCAGTATCTCGAAAATCTCGAGTAATGTCTCTTGGGAGGCTCACGGTCGATTGCTTGCCAATCCAGATATCCTGGGGTAATCCTCCACTCAATGGAGTCGAATCTCGTACCCGTAACCCCATCAAAACGTCCGCATTGTCGGTCAGGAGGCGGTAAGCTTGGGCACCCGCGGTGGTCCTTTGTGGAACCAGATGCTCCCGCAATCATGCGATATCTTCGACCCGCGCCGAGCACTACCAAACGAACTGAGGGTCAGACATGATGTGCTTGCCAGGTGGTCAGCCAGAATCCACAATGGCAACATTCGATGTTGCAAGTCTAAAGGTTGCATTCTTGCAACGGAGTTGCGCTGCATAGCACGCTCATTGGCCGACGATACGAAAGCGTTTCTTGACTCTTGCCTCGGCGGTTGACCGACGGACGCTTTTCGATCGAGTGCCTACACTACACTTTTGCGTGACAGACGTTCTAGTTGCCTTCTATGAACAATTATGTAAATACTGACTTGCTGTCATCAGCGGCAACGAATCAGTGCTCGCACGGAAACCTACTCCGAAACCTGCTGGACCCGGGAGTCCCTAGGTGTTGCTCCCATGGTGCGAGATCCGTCTCATCTTGACGGCGATTTGGTTCGGTTCTAGCCGTCTCTGATCTTACCACACACGTTTTGTGTCCTGGCCGCAAAATGAGGGAAATCTACGAAGCAAAAAAGTCGACGGCTTTATCGAATATCTTGTTTTTTACGAAGTGTCCTCATGAGAAACCGAGACCGTGAGACGGGGCGCAAATTACAGAATCCGTCGTATTGGAAATTGCGGTAAATGACGTGCCGGTTTTCGTGGTAGGGGTGCCTAGTTTCGCGGCTCGCGGGTCTCATATGTTCTGGAGGCCCGGATCGGCCGGTGACCGGGCACATTCTGGCCGCAGTCCCTATTTTCTACCTTTTCCAACGAGTAGGGGTCCGTTGCTACTCCACGTGCGGCAGTCCTTTTCCATTTGATGCCGGTGGCCTCAGAAACCCTTGATTTCGACCATCGATCTGTGGTGTTTTGAATCCTTGAGCAGGATCGCTTCAAGCATGCTGTTTATCTTTCCCAATTATACTTCTCATCTCGGTGTGAAGTGCCCAAGTCGCTACTGTTAATTGACAGTTTTTCTACTCAACGGAAAAATATCCGTATGCGAATAAGAAAATTCGCGGTCAGATCTGAAACGAAAATGCCGTCCGAAGCTGATGCCTGCCATCTCGATGCTGGATCCAATGATGTTCTCTGGAAAAGTGTCCGGCTCTTTTAAAGTTTGCCAGCATCGCCCCTGCTCACGTTGGAACCTCAACAGCAGTACAACAGTTCGACAGATTTCCGTGACCAATCATTCTCTAAAACTGTGAAACATTCATAGGAAACAATTGAACTTCTTCTGCCTAAGCAGAAGTAATACTCGCACTTCATCTATATCAAAGCTGGGGTAAAAGGGCTCTTTAATGTCTCTAGTGGTTGGTGTGGCCCATGGGAAAATGTTCAGCTCAACAATCCCATACGCACGACGGATATTTCAAAGGCCACATTTCAAATTGGCGATGCGAATGTGCGTGCGCAGCCACCGCATTTGCTTCCTAAAGGGGCGAGTCTAACATCGGGGCCGGCGCAGTGGATCGTGAAAAGATGGATCTCACGAATCATTACTTTGTAACCGGCTCGCATTCTGGGCCCCCACGGGTAATGACTCAGGTGTTGTCCGGGGAAGACTGCCGGACGTCAGTGGCAGCGGCATCTTGGATTCGAGAACTCGAGAACCCAGGTCTGAGCTTGGGCAGACATCCCATCCTCGCTGAAGTTGCGAATAATGACTCGCAGCTAAGGAATGTCAGCATTTCCGCCGTTGGCGACGGCAAACAGTATTAATAACCCGGTTTTCTGGTACCGACCGCGAAACCTCAGAGCTGGGGCTTTTGTCTGCCCAACCCCAGTCGTGAGTTGTTTATTACACTTTCGTATCGACCGGGGCGCGCCCCTTAGGAGCGATTAGGTATCAAAGTCTAAATACTAGTGGACCCCCTATTTGGTAACCTCAACAGTATCACTGCGGACTAAGACGCCGCGAAATGTGCTCCAGGGGTCCAGAATCTCGGCACGCCGCAAGTTGTCAATATGGACGCACTTGCCACATTCTGCCCAGCTTGCCAAGACAAGTCATTCCCAAGACTTGCGGCTTAATGCATCTGGAGCTTTGAGCACCTGCTGTTCTTGCTTGTTGACTCTTGATTCGTCCCCTGAGTCGTTGATATGACTGTGGCTCAACATCACTAGCTCGACTTCAAAATGAGAAGGACTGTATTTGATATTGCCAAGACCTCTTTTACCATAGCTGACGGCAAACTGGCAACTTCAATGTCCGTCTACATCAAGCGTCGTCTTTGCATTCGCTTATGTACCGGTGGGATGATTTGTATTGAAATGACCGACAAGTGTCCGTCCGCGGCAGGGACACTCTCCTGTAAGACTGCAGCAAGGGCTATTGTGCAATTGTAGTCCTCTTGACTCGAATCATGAGGAAGGTCGGTTGCAACAATGCAGTGGGCCTTTGCTCAACTCCATCGACTAGGTTCCACTCCCGCGCGTCGACAACACGTTGAGCCCCTGACCCTGACCTAGCCAAGCATCGTCGTCTAAAAGGATTCTCTATGTTGGCTGCTTTACCTAGTACAGCACACAATGCCCGTCTTTACACGCTTGAAATCTCGGCGAGACCCAAAACACCGCCTCTTCAAGCCAAACATCGTGAGAGATTTAACTTTGAGTATAAGAAATGAAGATACCTCGTCAATTCCGAGAAAAGTTAAAGCTGTATCCGAAGGCCCTGAGACAGTAACACTGCGTCTACAGCATGTGAATTGTAACCCCAAGACCGCTTGGCGGTCATCACGGCCAGCCCTGGGGCTTCTCCCCCCGGGTATAAAGACCTTGGTGACCAGAGAGGGAAGGAGTAGTCCGACTCGAGCATCACACACCAAGCACTTCATTCATAGAATTACCTTATCCCACAGAGCATACGAAGATACCTGAGGACCAACCATCCAAGATGTCAGCCATCTCAAAGACCCTCAGCAAGCTGGCCCGCGGGGCGCGGAAGCCGGCTGCCCTTACTCAGTCCCGCCCCTTGGCAACAGTTCAAGACAACAACCTCGCAAAGATGGCCGCCACAATGCCGCCAGGCCACAAGGCGACAGTTGCCCAGCTCGAGACATTCACCCTCCCAGAACGCGTCACCGGCAGCAAAGGTGATATTGCCATGGGAAAGGCCCTCGTCGATGCCTGGCGCCGTGACGGTATCCTTCAAGTTTCCATGAACGACAAGCAGCAAGCCATCTTCAACGAGGCCACTGCGTCCAGCAAAGCTTTCTTCGCCAAGCCTCCCGCCGAGAAGGCTGCTTGTGTCGACTCTCAGAGCTATGCCGGCTACATCGCCTCCGGTGAGGAGATCACGGATGGCATTGCCGACTACTCTGAGATCTTCACCGTGACGAAGGACCTGGACCTTGCTGAGCCCCGTGTCCGCGCAAAGTGGCCCTGCCACGGCCCGGCCCCTTGGCCTGACTACGAGATGAAGCAGCCCATGACCACTTACATGGAGTACCTTGGTGAAAGTGGAGAGAAGCTTCTCCAGCTTACGGAGCTCGGTCTCAACGTCCCCGCCGGATCTCTGACCAACCTGACTGCCGACGGATGGCACCACATGCGTATCCTTAGGTGAGCCACACCCCACGATGGGTACCACTTTACTCCAAGAACATTTGCTGACTCGGTCACAGATTCCCTCCCACGCACAACACCAACGGCAAGGGCAAGGAGGGCCGTGGTATTGGTTCCCACACTGACTACGGTCTGCTCGTTATTGCCGCTCAGGACGACGTTGGTGGTAAGTTTATATAACCTGATGTGTATCTCGCCACGACATTCTAACATGACCTGTAGGCCTCTTCATCCGCCCTCCCTATGACGGTGAGCACTACGCCAACTGGGAGAAGAGTGCGGCTGGTATGAAGGAGGACGATGAGAAGTGGCACTACGTCCCTCCCGTCCCCAACGTCTTCACTGTCTTCCCTGGCGACATCATGCAGTACATCACCAACTCCTACCTGCCCTCCACCCCCCACAAGGTCGGCCTGAACACTCGTGATCGCTTCGCCTTCGCCTACTTCCACGAGCCCAGCTTCCAGGCCGTCGCCAAGCCCCTTCCCGGCTACGACGTCGGCCAGTCCCCCAAGGAGGGCATCCACTACGGCACCCACTTCACAAACATGTTCCTCAGGAACTACCCTGAGAGAATCACTACCAAGAGAATGATGGCTGAGAACCGCCTCGCCAAGCTCCAGGATAAGGAGCTGCGCACCCTTCCTCCCAAGAAGGAGACTTACATTCCCAGCGTCGGGCGCCAGTCCCAACAGCAAGCTTCTTTGTAAACACTGAATTTCTTTTACTACTAGCGACTAGCGAAAACAGGTTGGAAAAGTCGGATCAAATGTCTAGCGGCGATGGAAATACCAGATTGAATCATGAACACAGACATTTCACTACTATATAGAGAATAAGACACATTAAGTCTCTGATTCCCTTCGATGCAATATGACGCAGTGAGTCAGGTAGTGAGAGATCGCAGAGCAACACTTGAAGTTGGGGTTAAGCTTATTGATCGGCAAAGTTATGTCAACTATCACTTTTTCCATACCGCCCCCTCTGTTGGCGGTTTAATTTATCTGCACCTGAAACTGGGTCACACTCGTCAGTGGGCAGCAAGATGCATTCAGAGTTCTGACGGTGCTCGCTTGCAATTACAGGCGCCAATAGCGTTCTTCGGAGGCCTGAGTTTAGGCCTCGTCATCCAAACCCACCAACTTCCCCACAACCTTACCCACAACACCTCACTCAAACTTTACCTCGTCCCTCGGGTCGTCTAACCACTTCACACCATGGCGAGCACAGCGATTCGATTCGTCGCAGGAACCAAGAAGTCTCCCCTTGGAACCCTGTATATGCAATGCCACGTCAAGCCGGGTGCATCTCGAGTTCGCGAGGGCGTCACGGCCGTGACCGACGCGACCGTCGAGCTGTGCGTCTCAGCACAGGCCCGAGAAGGCGAGGCGAACAAGGCAGTTGTGAAGCTGCTTAGTGAGGTAGGCGGGCTATCGGAGCTTATTTTGCAACAACTATTGTTAATATTACTCTGATTTGAGATTGTACTAACATAACCCACCAGGTCCTAGGACTTCCAAAGTCTGACCTGACCATCACTCAGGGGCTGAAGTCAAGAGACAAGACGGTCGCCGTTGGCAACGTCAAGGATGGCGATGGATTCATTGCGATGATCCGAGAGAGACTTGCCAAAGCTGCTGAGGATGACTGAGCGAAATGGGCAGAGAAAACGAAACGACGAGATGAAGAAAGATACCCAGACGACAAAAAACGATCCAGTACAAAGCGCCTTCCAATGATGGCGCGCGTACATCCCCTAGATCATTGGTTCTCACTATTGAAATTCATGTTCTTCAGACTGGAGAATTTTTTCGATTATTTTCTCCTCGTCACAAATCTTCCTTCCACTCGAGAATTACATTTAGGTGTCAACCTTCCCAATACCTGCCTGACCACATGCCAAAACTCTCTCGGGGTTTCAGGCAGCCCACAAGAGATGACTGGGTGATTTGATATCCATCAACACTCGATTATTGGAAATTTTTCATTGACCATAGCTAAATTCTATAAAATCCCCAGTTCAAACCATCCGGTTAGGCTTTAACCTTCCTTTCTACGGACAATCTCAACCGGGCATGATGAAACAGAAAATCATGAAGCTTGCCCTGGATTTGGCGCAAGAGTTCTAACATGTAGAAAGTGGCTATACTGAAATGGGGGGGCTTGTGTCTCCTGTGAGATGTTGCCTCTCAGTCTTGCTTGCTCTGCCATGACGTCTCTCCTTTTTCCTTCTGACTATTGTCCATCCATTCGTATCGCAGGTCACCGCCTGCGAACACACCTTGATGACTGCCGCATGACTCTGAAGCAGACATCGTTGACTTTTGACACTTATTGTTACCCGTACATCTCTGTCTTTCAAATCGTTGAAGAAGTTCATTGTTCGAGGTCCGCCAAAGATTCCCCAATTAGCTCCATTCTTATAGTCAAGGTGGACATAGTTCGACTGGTTTTTGATGTTTTCGTCCCCTAATTCGATTTCAAATTTGATAGACTCATAATCCAGTTCTAGCGTCTTTAAATTCGGTAACTGGGCTAGCGCGTGGAACTGAGGGGCACGTATTTCCATCGATACAGAGCGATCTTCCACACAAAACGCGACGTTCTCGACTTTGGCCCAGAGTTTTGAACACTCTGCCTTCGGTGCGTAAAGCATGGTCCAAACCGCATCCGTATAGTGTCCCGGGGGTAAGAAGAAGGTGTCGACACGCGGCAACACCCAGGTGAACGGGTTTGGTGTGCCTTGGCACGGGAACTTAAAAGGACGAAGAGCCTTTTCCGCAAGCTGGCGACAGTAAGAGTTGATATGAAGGATGTTAAGAAAATGTTTGAAACGATCTTTGGCCACTCTCCTTGCCTCCCGGTTCGACCAAGTGTCGATCAAGAGTTGTGTACGCGGGTCGCCCATATACTCGCGGCATGTTGATTCCAATGTCCAGGAAGCTGGCTTAGCTGAAGCCTTGGCCTGTTCAATGGCAAAGCCAATAATTTCCCACTTCAACTCATTTGGGAGATGTGGTGCGGCCACCGCATCATCAGAGCGGAGCTCACTCTTGCTTGCCTCCTGTGCAAGATGTTGGGACACCGGCTCGAGGTCGTGGTTGTCCGCTTTTTGTTCAAGGCGCTTGGGTCCTGACCTCTTATTGCGACTCTTGCGAGGCATCTTGGCTTCGAATAGTTGTCAAGGCGTTTATGGTAATCTTGTCGTTGTAGGTAGGGTGTGAAGATGGTCGTCAAATCCTGTGCTGGGAATGTTCAGGCCAAGTAGCTGGGTATATATGGTTGCATCGCAACTATCTCCGTTGTCCGATACCGCGATGTCCACGCCTAAATTTTCGTACCTTTTTCTCCTCCACGATATTATCAAGGTACCTTGGAGATTGCTCAGACAGCACCTGGCTGGATACCCCAAGATTCACGAGTTCGTAGAGGTCTTGCTATGTGGTTCGAAGGTAGCAGGGCTTGCATTTTCAACTTCGTTTCATGACAAAGTATTCAGTTGAAAGCTTTGCTGGAAGTGCCTTCAAAGCAGACGGAGAGACTTTGTCTTAGCTCACCAACTTCTTTGCCTCCATCTTTTACCTGGCAGTCAGCGGCAACGGGTGTATATATTCCAAAAAGCTGCATCACTTTGTATGAGCTCCTAAGCATCATTGTACGGAATGCATCTAAGCGATAGGTTCAGAGCTTATTGACCTTTTGTCAATGAGCTTTCTTGAAACCTCGTAATACTGCGAATCTCTTGCATAATTGTAGGCAGTAGGTCGAGTCGTATCGGAAAGTATATTAATAGTAGTATCTGGCGCTCGACAGCCTTTTCGTCTGCTTCAGAGCCATCTACCAAGCCGACCCAAGAGGTGGAAGAGGCATAGCCATGGGCTGACCATCAGCCTGGATGACAATCGAGGTTCCAACTACGAGACAATCCAACTCGCCGATTACATCTTTGCTCATTACGCAGGCATCCCTATCATCATAATTCCATGTGTCGTACGCAGCCGTCCACTCCTGGAGGATGCCTCCCGCACCAACGCCACGTCGAGCAACGAGGGATGCGCGCTTCTTGGCTGCCGCCTCTGCTTCTCCGAAAATCGTCTTTTCCATCCATTGCATGACCCACGGGTCACTGGCCAGCTTGTCCTCAATGATCTGGGTCATTTCGGACGTTCCCATCTCGGCGATGGTTCCCTCTACAGCGGCGGGGGCCAGACCTCCAAGGGCAGACCCAAGGACGGCACCAGCAAGAGCGAGAATCTCAACTCCCAACACTGCGTAGAGGACCGTCAGAAGTGGGTTTGCGCGGCCGCCTGATCCGATGACGATGCGGTTCGGGTCACCGGGTGAGTCCTGGGTGATGGTCCATTGCGATGTTGGCGGGTCTTCCAGCGTGATCTGGTAACTGGTGCCGTCGACGTCCAGGCTGAACGTCTTGGAGGAGTGCGACCCGATGCAGCCGTCAAAGAGGCCACCGTCGATCTCAGTTTGGAACGTGAGAAAGCTTGGGGTCAGGCTCTCATCAGGGTTGTAGGCGTCAAGGGTATGTTGTCCATCCATGTTCGCCAAAGCCGACCCGATGTCGCCAATTTGCGTAACCTTCTTGTAGTAGTCTAAATAGTCTTGGTAGGTGCTAAAGTCAGAGCCAAAGGAGTCGGTGAGGCTTGTCGTTCTGTAGGCAGCGTAGTAGGAGGTGAGGTCGTCTGTTGAGTAATCGCTAGGATCTTGGAGGCAATTAGACCCCAAATCCATGTCGACGGTGACTGGGACGTTGGCCATATTGATGATTGGCAGCATAACTTGCATCCCAGCTTCGCAGTATCGAGCCAAGGTCATCACGGTCACTAAAGTGACTAGTGAGGTGCGAGAAAGCGTCATTCTGGCAAAGATCTTGAGGATGTGCTGGTTTTGCCCGTGATTCAGACTTTTGGTGTCAGAGTTATGGATTGGAGTGCCAAGAAAACGAACGTTGAAGCGAAGACAACGTGAGATTTTAATACTCGTGTGGTAGCCATGGAAAGCTCGCCTTCCTACCTAGTTCCGTCCATAAAAATTGAAAGCTTGATGCTCAGAGTTGAACACCTACCAGCAATTACCGTCTGCTGTTCTAGAAGTCTGCCTGTCTTACATGCCAAGAACGGGTCTGGATCGTGCTCTTTCTTCAGGTCGGCACTTGCAAACAATGCCAGCTTATTGACTGTGCGTGGCCAAGTATGCCGCAAGCGGTTCACCAAATAAAGCCAACTCAGAAGGCGTTAGATTTTCTTTCTGGCGATTCCTACCTTGACCCACGCTTACCAAAGTCAAGTACCGACTTCTTGGGACCAAATCCACGTGTGGCATGGTTTGCGCCTTTGACTTAGCCAGCTTTATGACGCCACCTTCCCATCGGTCGGTGACAGCAGCGTGGTGGCTTGAGGGAGGCTGGAAATCTACTGCCCACAATCTTCGCAAACATCAAGATAGCATTACCAAAGGACCAATTCTCGGATATCTTGAACAGCACCTCGCGGACGATGCCGGGAACGCAGCAGGCGACAAGCAATCGCGTCCGAACCCTTCTTATTATTCGAAGGGCGCAACGGGACCTAGTGAAAGGTCTATCGAAGGAGGGCCTGTTGGGAGTCCCCGAGATGGTGGGCTAGGCTTCGTATCATTTCTTTTGCCTGTCGCACGTGCCAGCTATCTACCTGCCACAATGTATCAGAAGCGGCGGTGACTCCCTTCCTGGTGGTCTCATACATTTGGTTCCTTCAGCCAGCCCCCAAGGAGACGGCAATGATGTTTCGGGCCCTTACTCAGCCGCTTAGATTGTAAGAGGAATGTTCACAGCTTGTGGTAAAATGCCAGTAGATTCCTGAATCCAAAGTCCCTGCAAGCAGCAGACGAAGTAGATCTGGGCTCAGGAATTGACCAGCGTTGCCTGGACCAGTCAATTGGGCAAGAATTATCATACGAGAAGAACACTCCCAACCAAACACGAGGTTGGGCAAAACCTTGTGTGTTGCTATTTGAGATTTGGTATTGGCCAGAACAAAAGCCATATTCGTGGCTTGAAGTTAGGAATGTGACGCTGCAGAGGTGACGGAATGAATTTCGTGCCACATTGTCTCATGAAATTTCATCGTGACCTACTACTGAAGATCAGTGACATATTGACGATGTCCTCAAGGCCTGATCCCCAATATCCGGTCTTATAGTGTATCTGATAAGTCTTCCACAGCTAACGACTCTTTGTCACTCGAGACCTGCCAATCGGCCTCAGGAGCTTTCAAATTGGCCTCATTCTTCAGTAAGCGGTTACTATGGGAGCATTGAATATCAAGATTGCTGTCACTGTTTGTCTCTGATCGTATGGCTACTCAAGTGAGCCAGGACGAACTTCACCAAACGCAAGCATGTCTCATGGACTAGGCCTGAGGCAAAATCTCCGTCAACAAGCGAGATGCTGAAAATAATCAAACTCGATGCAACAATTTCTTACGCGACAGGAATGATAGGCATCTGGGAGACAAAGTGAGGACTTCAGGCATCTCGCGATCTTCTTCCCGTGCGATGGGCGGCGAGGATCGACGCAAGGGGTTGGGCGGCCGAGGGGCAAATAAAGGATACCTAACACGCCCAGAGCATGAGACACATGGCGAATACAGGAGAAAT